TTATATTATATTATATTATATTATATTATATTATATTATATTATATTATACATTCTTATTATACATTCTTATAAGCAAATACTCACATAGTGTCATCGTATCCAACCCACTGGTTGCCTTTGAAAGCATAAGGCACACGTTGTTCAGATTCACGTTGTACGGTCCATCCTTCTTTAACATACTCGCAGATTTCGTTGTAACCAAGCATGCCACTTTCTTGTGTGTAAGGACCAGGTTTCCCAGGACCATTTGTTGGAGAACCTATTGTATTATACAAGGCATTCGACAAGGTAAAGGATCTACCGTAAGCGGGAATACCAAGAACAAGTTTGTTAGCTGGTGCGCCTTGTTCGAGCCAATATTGAACAGACGATTTCTAAAACGTAAATGTTTCACACACCAAGATCAATAACGTTTTAGCATCAATTTTAATAAAAGTTGTAAATAATCGAGAGTGCGATTTTACCACGTTGAGTTTAGCTTCATTTCCAGACTCTGTAGAAGAAGGGTATAGCGGAGCGTTAATTGCTGCGAAGTTGTCCCACGATCCATGAAAGTCATACGTCATTAAATTAATAAAGTGAGGATATTGCGACATTTCTGAAATAAGGTAAGATTTCGAGGCAGAAATTTCGGCTGCGCCGACCGCCACGCTAAGGATGTAACCATGTTTATCAAATTCTTCTCTTAATTCCTTCATCAAGATAACAAAGTTCTCTTTGTCAGCTGGTTTGCCACCACGCTGGTTCGGATATTCCCAGTCAACATCAAAGCCGTCGAAATCGTATTCCTTTACGAAGGCAATCACATTCTGGACGAATCGTGCACGCTTATCACGATTTTCCGCGACCTCAGAAAACGTCTGGGAACCCTCGTTCCAACCACCTATTGCTATCAATGCCTTAGTTTCTGGACTTAACTGGCGCAGTCTGGTAAATTTTCCGAAACCATCTCGACCATTCGGTAGGTCCAGCCATGAATCCAATATTCTAACATCACCGTCTTGAGAAATACCAACAAAAGTATAGATTATATGAGTGCATAGAGTTGGATCTATATCGGTCGGTTCGAATTGTCCAAGTCCACGACGATATGCTGCCCAACTGCCATAATAACAAACGATCCTCCCTGGTATAGTGAAAACGGTAATATGTATTACGATTTAATAGCCTATTATTGCAATTAAATAAAATAGAATATATTTAGGATTACAAAATTAATTAACAATATCGGTAATAAAGTTTAAAAATAAACATATTAAGGATAAAGTTAGTTTTATTAGTAATTTTTGATATTTACTATCGGCATTCATGACTGAAATGACGAAGGATAAGGAAACAATCAGGAACACTGTCTTCAACATCTGAAATAATTTTTAAAAATATTAATAATTAAAATTTCATCACTGAAAATCTACAAAACGAAAAACCTAACAAGTCCGCGGTGTTTACGGGAAAGTTTACGCATGCAGCTGATTTATGCATGTACTTTGTGGTTTTTGTTTGTAATACATTTCATCTAAAATGAATATTTATATGTCCCCGGCATTTCATGAGCAGTCGATAATTATATTTTTATGTTTCCGGATAGTAGATTAATCTTTTCCAGATTAATTTGAAGTAAGTTTGTGTATGAAGTGTATTAAAAATTCTCATCATGTTTACCGTGTTCTTTCCTTTATATAAATTAAAATTTTTGATTTTTGATATTGGTCTTTAATTTTTTGTTTAAATGAATTATGATTTATAGTAGAAACATAAATACGTTGATCTATTTAATGCATATTAAAAATTTTTATATCTGTTGATCAATTATGATCAGTTATAAAGAGTCCTTATTCACTTAAACTTTAGGATTGTAAAACAGATATTCAGGAGACAAAATACGTGAAAAATTTTTTTGAAGAAAAAAAAGCCTGGATAGTTACATCGTCAAGCGTCACGTTTGTATTTCGAATGTATCTTTGATCTTTAAATTGACACAGGTGTGCATATATTACAAATTGCGATCAATCGCTTCGTTATTTTTTCAACATGAAACAAAATAAAGCTGAATCAGATAATGAATAGACATGACAAATAATGAAGATTATTTCTAAAAGGAAACGAAGAATTTTCAATATAAATATTTCACTGATTTCAAACATAGTAAATTGAATTTTTATCGTTACTTTTTAACATAAAAGCGAATTGAAATAAAGCTAAATGAAATAAAACTTTTGTGACAAATAATAATAATAAGATTATTTCTGAAAGAAAATGAAGAATTTTTAATACATTTTGCCAGAAGATTTTAAAATTAACATAATAAATCGAACATTTATTTACTGCCAGATACTACGAGAATATTAAACGTCAAATAAAGTTTGATAAAAATAAGAAAAACGTTACCTGTGTCAAAATTATAAAGTTCAATTTCTACTTGTTTCAACTAGTAATTAGTATCTATGTTGATGTTAGGCCACTTACTGTCTTAACTTGTAACAAGTATCTTAAATACACTTATTGTGTTTCATATATCGATTAACAATTTTTTATCTGATTTGTTCAACCTAAGCCTTTATATACTAGATTCTGATTGCAATCGGTACGTGTTATCAAAATGAATCATTATCATGGTTTACTTTTTTCTTTCTTAGTATCCACTATCAATGTGCAGTTTATCAATCGTTATAAATGACCAACAGATGTTTGACTATGCCAAATATTAGTTTTTCTGTACGAATAAAAATATGATAAAATTGACGAAAACGTATGCAATAATTACGAAATCGTTGATGATGCGTAACAAAAATGTGAAAATTTTAAATACTACATTCATAGATGTCTAATATAAAATGATACGAAAAACAAATAATTTGAAAACAAATTATTCTGCATATATTTCTTTGCATTACTTACTTATCAGTTGTTTCCAAAGAATTTGCAAATCTTTAACTGTTCCTAAATCAAATGTATCATGTGTATTATGATTTTGTTATATACACAGGATGATACTTTTCCCGCAAATTTCATTTCACAGAAATACTGAATAAAAATATCACATATATAATCGAATGTTTTATTCAAGAGACAATAAGAAATGCGAATATGAGTTTTAAAATTTTCTTAGGATTAGTGAAAGAGAGATTGTAAGTATATCTTTTGTATAAAGACTCAATAGTTCAAAACTCAGATATTTGCTTTATTTATATATGTACATATACTTTATAAGTTTTTAACAATATTTTATTAAAATTAATTATCTGCTACTAAATTATTGCAATGGAAGAAGGTAAAATGAAAAGTTATTTTGGACTTAAAATCGTTGGGTTTTCTTGAATTTATTATTTTTGATCAGTGCTTGTTTGCGAATGTATCTCCAATATTGTTTTGTATTTGGATCTAAATCTGATAATTTCAATGGCTCAGTTCTAATATTCCATAGCCATTCAGGATATTCAGAATCTGGCTTTAACTTTACATCTTCTCCTTCTTTATAAATGTTTGATCCACATACATAATTCAATAATTTATTGACATCTTCTTCAACTGGTAGTATTATTTTTTCTTGAGCTTTTATCTTTTTTTTCTCAACTGAAAGATAAAATAATGTAATAAGAATTAATATTATTTTTTATTAAAATAAATTTTACAACAAGAGGAAACAAGTTCTGTAAATTAAAAAATAAAACATATGTGACATAACCTGTATTTCAAACGAGTACGTATTTCAATTCATATGAGATGAGTTTACTAAAATACAATTTTTACCTGCATAGTTTTTCACTTGCAGCGTATATTGTACTGCAATAATATTTTCTGCAATTCTAGGTAATCGTAAAATTGATAGAAGGGACATTGTACTGATAAATATAAATAACAAATTCTAGAGTATTAAATTCTCCAGCCTTGCTTTTCTATAACTTATATATATTGTTTATTGTCAATGATAATTAAAAGTGTAATGCATTTTTATATTTTCTACACAAATAAATTTAATCAGAACTATGAATTTAGTGTTGAAATTAAAAAATTTCACCAATTATTTCATATTGTAAATAACCTAATAAATTTAAATGAGTTTGAGTCTTGATATAAAATCTTTCATATTTACAATCTAAATTGTAAATTTAGTTATAGAATATTTTAAATTAATATTAAACTGCAATTAATGCAAATAATAGTTATTTTTTGCTATAGTTGTATCATAACGCGGGACATTCAAATGTTGACAACGGTAGTAAATCAAATGCGCAATGACAAACAATAAATGTTACACTTATCTTAGACTTACTTTTTATTTTAATTTAATAAAAAAACTTAATGTCACACTATAGATTATGACCATATCGGTATTCTATTAAATGATTGAAGTTAATTTTAACGTGTGGGATAATTTCTTTATGTTTCGGTTATGTAATGCCAGTAAGCAGCGATAGAGTAACGCGGGTAGGTTCGATTTTATGGTAAAATATTAAAGAATATTATATACCTCATATTATGTTATAAATGAAAAATATAATATAGACAAAAGTACATGTATATCTTGCAAAAAAGAATTTATTTACTTTATTACTTCATAATATTATTTTTATATTAACTTCTTTATTTTTATATATAACTTTTTAATATTATCATATTTTTTGTAGTTTATATCATGAAATAATGAAAATAATATTATTTAATATTTTAGCCAAAAACAGTAGGTTTTGCTATAAAAGGAATTAAAGGAGAACCATTAGATACAGGAAATCAAGAAAATAATAATTTTTTGACAATTGCTCCTGCTTTACCCATTTTACCTGGAGCTCCTGTACCACCAAAGTTATTTAAACGCCGTTACAATTTATTCAGGTATTGAATTTTTAATTAAAAATTATTCATGATTTATTAAAAAATATTTAAAATTTTTTGTACAATTTATAGTTCAACAGAGTCTTCATTCAACGTAGAAAATGACAAAGTCGATGGCTCTAATACAGTTACTTTACAATGGACAAGTGAAGGAAAAACTG